TTTTGAATTCGCAAAAGATTGTAATATATTCCATCTTGCTGGTGATTCGCTAAAAAAATTATATAAATTTTGATTCAAATCGAAAAATGAAATTGCTTCAGGGCAGCACTCAGCAGCATGTGTRCCCACTGTATTTAATCCATGTCCAGCACACGGTGTAAACTGAGCCAGAGGGTTATCTTTTTTTATGAGGGCTTGAAGCCCCTTATAAATTCCACTCATATTTGCAGCATTGTCGTATGACTGACCTCTCAAGTCATTAAAATTTATTTGCAAGGTTTTTAGAGTTTCTTTCACAGCATTATACATATCTGTACCCTTATGTCCAACATTATCGAGTAATTTTACAAAACGTTCAACTGCTACACCATTTGGTAGTACGTATCTTAAAATAAAAGCAAGCTGATCTACGTGAGAAATRTCAGGAGTAGAATCAACAATTATCGAGTAATATTTCGCTTTTTTCACCTCTGCAATAATTGTCTCCCTAACTTTTTTTGCCATAAGTTCAATCAATTCTTCATAAATCGTTTTTGACAAATAACTTGTTGAGCCACTACCTTTGTTTGCGTAATTTTTAATATGTTCGTTCATAAATGGATCAAATTCAGAGAGGAATTCCAAGAGCATTAAAAAATTTCCATTATTTTTTAAACCGATTTTCTCCGCATCACCCCTAAGAGGAAGTCCACGAGAAACCAATGTTTTGACAGCAGCAACCACTCTTTTTATAACTTCTCGCCAATATGATATTTCCTTATCAAGTTGGGCGGTCAAATCATGATCAATTTTTCCTATAACAGATGCTCTGTCTTTCAAACTTAAAATGCATTTCTTATGGTCTTGTGTATTTTCATGTTGTCCAACACAAACAGAGGCGTTCTTCCAATCATTGAATCCATCCGAATTACAAAAAGAATTCTGTCCATAACAACCAAAGAGCAAACAGGGGCCACAAAAAACAGATTTCTTGYTTTCTGAATATATAAGCCATAAACGATTAGAGATTTCATTATTGTGCATTTTTCTTTGAAATAAAGAAGCCGACATAGATCTATATTGATTCTCATTCGCATACTTTCGCCTGGAAAGCTTGAAATCTGCGTTTTTATTCTGGTTCCAACCGTGTTTTGCGATATAGTCACGAAAATAATCGTTTATAACCCACCGAGCAGGATCGTCACTAAATGTAAATACACTTTCTTGTTTTTCTTGATTAGTTTCTGTTGTAGGCGCAGACGCAGGTGGAACAAGCAGAGATAGGCCGGTTTCTGGAATGAAAACTAGAGTCAGGTTTTTAATGAAATAATAATATGCTTTTATACTTTTATAGTGTAAAATATTATAGATATAATGTTAGAATCTAATTGAATTGTCCGTTGTGCAATATAACTAATAAATACTGAAATTCATTGTCGAACATCGAACGTAAATGTARACCTACCCTTTGAAAATGTCGAACCGTTATTTTCATCGGATTTTTTAAGTTCTTCGATAGGTGGTGTTGGTCTAATTTCTTCAGCTGACTCTGACGAAGCACTAGGCAGATCAATT